CATTTCTGTCGGAAATATAAACCCCATAAAGACCCTGAACTCTTTTTAGATGGCACTCCAATCAAGATTGTAAAAGAAGCCAAATTTTTAGGATTAATTTTCGACCATCATTTAACCTTTTTGCCACATATTACTTATCTGAAGACCAAATGCCTGAAGGCCCTAGATTTGTTAAAAGTCGTTTCAAATTCAAAGTGGGGAGGGGATCAGAAAACCCTCCTTCACTTATATCGATCATTGATCCGTTCTAAATTGGACTATGGCTCCATTGTGTATGCTGGAGCTTGCAAGAGCAATTTAAAAAAGCTGGATTCAATTCACCATCAAGGACTACGTCTATGTCTTGGTGCTTTTCGAACTTCTCCGGTTGACAGCCTCTATGTGGAGGCTGATGAACCTTCTTTAAAACAACGCCGTACTAAATTGTCTCTTCAATATATTTCTAAATTACGTTCGAACCCCTCTAATCCTGCTTATGCCTCTGTATTCTACCCCCTCTATGAAAATCTATTTCTGAAGAAACCGAAGCTGGTTCCTCCACTTGGGATTCGGCTCAAATCCAATATTACTGCTGCAAATCTTGATCTGGATCTTATCTCTCCTTCTCGGCTTTTGTCTACTCCTCCCTGGCAGTTGGTGAGGCCAGAAGTAGACATTTCACTGACACGCTTTCTCAAGTCTGAAACAAATCAACTGGTTTATCATCAGGAATATTTACAATTAAGAAACAAATATGACACTCACCGTTCAATCTTTACTGATGGATCCAAGGGTGGTGGCAAAGTAGCAAGTGCCACTGTCGTTGGATCACAAACCATATCATTTAGAATACCTGACAATAGCTCTATTTTCACTGCTGAGGCCAATGCTATCCTTACAGCTTTGATATATATTAAACACCAGTCTTCATGTAAACAGTTTATCATCTTTTCTGATTCTCTTTCTTGCCTTCAGGCACTGCATAATGTATCTTCCACTCATCCACTGATTTTAGATGTTTTAGAACTTTACAATGATCTTTCAACTGGCCAATACGACATCGTCTTTTGTTGGTTACCGAGTCATATGGGCATCACAGGTAACACAATGGCTGATGCTGCTGCTAAAGCAGCACTCAACGAATCTGTGACACCACTTCTGCTTCCATACAGCGATTATAAACCTGTAATAAGAAACTACATCAGAGATATAATGCAGCAGAAGTGGGACACCCAAGTAGGTATTAATAAATTACATGCTATAAAACCAACCATCGGTTACACCTACTTGGGTTGTCAGTCCAGATTTGAAGAGGTCATTGTACGACGATGTCGTATTGGCCACTCGCGATACACACATGAATATTTGTTAAAAGGTGAAGATCCTCCGTTCTGTATCCCTTGTGATGAGAGAATCACGGTCAAGCATGTCCTGCTTGACTGTATTGATTTTTCCATCACAAGGGATAAGTATTTCAAAGTTTCATCGTTAAAGGATCTTTTTAATCAGATTAATTCTCATTTAATTCTTGGTTTTTTAAAAGAAATAGAATTGCTTGATAAATTTTGATATGTACATGTATTGTAAAAAGTATGTGATTTTAATTTGGTAGAATGACGTAATAACTGAGTTTGTTAGTGGCTGTACCTTCAAAGGGGGTTGAAGTAACGTAAAATAATTGTCCCCCTGAGAAGGTATGTAAGTCCCATTTCATTCAAAGTATTTTTCATTTTCCATGTTTTTAATCGTAGAATTCTTGTTGTTTTTAAATGTTTTGGCTTAAACTTGCCGACAATCACCAGTAACCGGAGGGATGGTGTAAATCCTGCTGGGTTACCATGTAGGTAGCAGAAGTATCGTAAGTCCCCATGGTACCTAGTATGGTGACCTACCTTTGGCTATTGGTGATCTAAAGCCCATTTTTATTGTGTACTGTACTGAATTGTTATGAATTTTATTCTGATATGCTAGTTTTACAATCTACATTTGTGATAGTCTAGTGTTTTTACTGTCCTTTGTCGACAGATTTTATTGTCACTATGTATTAATATATAACTTGATTTAGTCACGTTATGGCTGAAATATTGCCCATGTGACTTAAAACTTAACTCACTCACTCACTCACTCAGGACAAACTTTAATGAGTAACAGCTAATAATACAAGACTATACACCGTCAGCAGTCTGTCTCCAGGAGACTTATCTAAAACAGACAGACAACTTTGATTAGCGTCGGTACACGTCTTATCATTCATTTTCTCTACCGGGAAATAAAGCTACTGGAGGATTACGATTTTGGTGAAGCAGGGAGTGATCCACAGCCCTGTTTCACTTCATACTAATCTTCAAGCATGTGCAGTACGATTAACTTTGCACGTAACAATTACATTGTGCTCTTTGTACATTTCACCTTCATCTGCTCTTCAACAGTCTGATATTCAGAAGCTACATGATCCGATTTGCGTGGATCGATGCTCACGGTGACTATTGATGAATATTGCTGAGTGCGCACAAAACAAACAAAAGACAAACAAAACCACTATGTATACCATTGTTTATCATTGTACGCATTCCTATCACCCTTATGCATGATCCAGACAGTTATGATCATGAAATATTAGACAGTTTTAGAAATATTTCACAAATTGTATTTGAATGTTGCTCGGCTCTTTGCCTTAGGACAATGGTGCTATACTGGGAGGATACACCCCCTCTTTTATACCCCGCATGCCGGCTAAAAAAGCGTGTTCCGATCTTTCATACTGGAAGACGTCCTGTCATTTTTGAACATGATATTAACTCCAGAAGGAAACACCCATAAAACATATTTCCAAGCATGAACTCAACCCCTGCTATATGTGCATCCCATTTTATCTGAAGAGGGGACCCGTGAAGATCCGGGGTAGAATAGGTCTTGAGCAACCAATGCTTGCTGTAAAAGGCGACTATGCTAGTCGTAAAAGGCGACTAACGGGATCGGGTGGTCAGGCTCGCTGACTTGTTGATGCATATCATCGTATTCCAATTGTGTGGATAGATGCTCAAGATGTCAGTCACTGGAATGTCTGGTCCAGACTCGATTATTTACAGGCCGCCGTCATATAGCTGGACTATTATTGTTGAGTGCGGCGTAAAACAACACACAAACCAACCAACTTAAGAGGGAAAAAACAGAAGGCTCTGGGCTCAAGATAGTTAAAAAACACTCAAAACGGCTGCTTTAATGTCTCTGCCCAAAAGATTATTTTGTCATTGCTACTTCCGCCCACCTATAGAAGCATCGACCAAAAAAAATAAACATGGGAAGTCAATACATGGAAAGAGGACGAAAAATTACCGGTAGCTATTCAAGACCATTCACTGAGGGTTTAGTATTTTCTTCATCATACTAAGTCCCCATATTTATATTGTGTCTGCTTTTAAATATTCCTCAACTAGTTTTAAATCTAATCTGTGATATTCTAGTTATCGTACTGTCCTTCGATGACAGGTTTTTATAAAGTATAAATAGATGTATCATTAATGTATAACTTCCCATCACGATATGGCTGAAATATTGCCGATGTGACATTAGATTTTAACTCACTCACTCTTCATCATACAGCCAATGCAAGGCAGGGCATGTCTCACCGTCAACACACTGACAGCACATGGTTACATAAAAAATAGGAATCTGGTGCTACGAATCGAGTGCATATAATTGTTGATCCGGCAACTAAATGGCAGATAAACGAAACTACTACCCATGACATGTACAGCGCATCGACTATAGGCGAAGAGCCTTACTTTTCGTATTATCATTGAATAGTATTCATTGAATTACTTTGTTATGACGCCAAAAATTAAAACATAACACATGCAGAGTCCCAAATTGATTATAATATAACAGTTCCCTTTTGCTATAGATGCAAGGCACACAAATAGCCTATAGATGCAACAGACAACAAATATTCCCCGATCGCATATAAATGAAATTCACATAAATAGCCCCCGGTTGCTTATAGATGCAACACACACAACCAGTCCCCGATCGCTTAACCATGCAAAACACATGAATAGTTTCCGATCGCATATAAATGAAATTCACATAAATAGCCCCCGGTTGCTTATAGATGCAACAACACAGCCAGTCCACGATTGCTAATAGATGCAACACACACAACCAGTCCCCGATCGCTTTACCATGCAAAACACATGAATAGTCTCCGATCGCATATCGACGCAACACACACAAATAATCCCCGATGGCTTATAGATGCAACACACACAAATAATCCCCGATGGCCTATAGATGCAACACACACAAATAATCCCCGATGGCTTATATATGCAACACACACAAATAATCCCCGATGGCTTATAGATGAAACACACAAATAGTCCTCGAATGCTTGTAGCTCCAACACACACAAACAGTCCACGATTGCTAATAGATGCAACACACCCAAACAAATAGTCCCCTATTGTCTATAGATGCAACACACATAAATAGTCCCCGATTGCTTATAAATGAAACACACACAAATAGTCCACGATTGCTAATAGATGCAACACACCCAAACAAATAGTCCCCTATTGTCTATAGATGTAACACACATAAATAGTCCCCGATTGCTTATAAATGAAACACACACAAATAGTCCACGATTGCTAATAGATGCAACACACCCAAACAAATAGTCCCCTATTGTCTATAGATGTAACACACATAAATAGTCCACGATTGCTAATAGCTGCAACACACCCAAACAAATAGTCCCCTATTGGCTATAGATGTAACACACATAAATAGTCCACGATTGCTAATAGATGCAACACACCCAAACAAAAGTCCCCTATTGTCTATAGATGTAACACACACAAATAGTCCACGATTGCTAATAGATGCAACACACCCAAACAAATAGTCCCCTATTGTCTATAGATGCAACACACACAAATGGTCCCCGATCACATCAAGCATCCACCATCTTTAGCCCCCCCCCCCCCCCCCCCCCCCACCCCACCCCAACCCCAAAACACACACACCCTTTCCTAACACAGGCACACACACACACATCTCACTTCTGTATCAAGCACTATCTCATCAGAAATTATAGATGAGTTGAAATGCGTGTAGTTTTCTCTTCAAGCCTGCCACTGTTGAGTTGAAGCGCACTGCTCGACACCGTCGGGACATCCTTGCTCTCCCCCACGATTACCTCCACCTGATCCACGGCCCAGGGCTGCAGCTCCCCCCGGGCCTGGGTGCCGAACACCACAGTCCCCAGGACACAGAACCCCCCACACACGTAGAACACGTTCCGCCATTCTTCCTGGGTTTTCTGTGAGAGAGAAGTTGGTCCTTCGTTGAAACGTTAACTAGCATTATGTGGCACTTATAATGATAAGGGTGTGCGGGTAAGTTGGGTTTAACACCCCTTAGAACCGTGTTGCAGTTAATTGTTTTACGGCGTGTCAGCTTGATGTGGGAGGAAACCAGAGTGATGCAGGTCTAATACGTTTATCAATACAGTAGAGTCCGTTTATAACGAACACGCTTATAATTATAACGAACTGACCGATATAACGAACTTATTTTTCAGTCCCGACAATTTGTTGTGTAAATTATGTATATATGCTTATAACGAACTACGGTTATTACAAAAAATTAGTGGTCCCTTCAAGTTCGTTAGAACCGTAGTTTCCTGTATTTTGAAACCGCTAGTGTGGGTTTGGTACAAACAAACCTAGTGACATAATCACGAAGAAGGGAATTCGAACCAATGATTCTGGCGAATCTAAGGGACGCAAATTTGTTCATGATATATGTCCAACAACTTGTGTGTCATTTGTTATTGTCTTGAGATGCCAAATTCATTAATCATTTTAGCTATAAATTGCCAGTGAAAGTCTTATTAGCTGAAAACAAAATGCAAGCTTTTTTGACATACTTCGAACAGTATTTACACGACTTACATTTGGAGTCAAAGCACCAGCCACCGTAGGCCCCCCAACACCCGCCACTAGTGCCATGATGGAGTTGATCACGCCGAACAACACGCCGCTGTGCCTACAACATATGAGTGAGTGAGTGAGTGAGCTGATCTTCCGTTTCTCTCGTTGGCCTGTTTCTGTGTGGAAATATTATTGTAATAATAATATGGCTATAATACACATTACCTAGGGGCAAAGTCCACAACGTTGACCATAAATCCTGCAGCTCCCAAGCCAATGAACCACATAGCACACGCAAGGAGAAACACAGCGACGTAGCGGTCGTCAACGTCAACGTACCCAGTACAGACTAGACTCGCACCTGTCCCAATAAATCCTGTCGGAAAGAATAGAACACACATAACAGCGTCAACATAAGAATTCTCTATTAAAAGCAGAGCCAGTTTTACTATTCATACCATTTCATAAGCATGTCTTTATGAATCACTATAAAATAGTCATGGTGCAGATATTCGCGAAGGGGTGAGCGTACCCTGCCCCACCGGTGGTACCCGTCACAAACACAGGCACGGGCAAGTCTTATAGAGACACTTTAGAAAGCTTTACTGGGGCCTTAAATATTGCAACCCTGAATTATAATACACTGGACATTCCAGGATGGGATGGGACTTGCTTCGGAGCCCCGACATGATGAGTGAGTGTGAGTGAGAATGGTTTTTACGCCGCTTTTAGCAATAGTCCAGCAATATCACGGCGGGGGACACCAGAACTGGGCTTCACACATTGTACCCATGTCGGGAATCGAGTCCGGGTCTTCGGCGTGACGAGCGAACGCTTTAACTACTAGGCTACCCGACTGCCCCTGGGAGCTCTGTCAGGTGCATGTTGCATTGAAGTAATATAAGTTGATACAATGCTGTCTTCTAGGACACCAAATCGGCAACCATGGAGGGAATCAAAGAAGATTGTTCTTGCCTACGCTTTGGAAGATCCTCCGTGTGGCCGTCGTGCTGAGGTATTTTCTTGACCGGAGGTAGTCCGCCAACTGACCGGCGATCAAAGAGGACACAGTCTGGCTCATATATGGGATGGAGGAAAGAAGTCCGTTCTGCAAGCCAAACAATAAATGCTTGCGTTCATCAAAACATATATCCTTTCCCTTTGTTACAAGGTTAACGTTATTATCCTATTTTTGAGGGCATTGTCATTTGCAGAAGCCCGAGGTCTTCCATTAACTGCCCGACAAAGGAGGGCAGTTGAAAAGAGCGAGGGCTTCTGCAAATGATAATGCCCTAAAAAATAGTGTTACCGTTATTTTAGGTAAAATGGATAGAATTTGTTATGAAATTAAAATAAACAACAATATCGGTTTTGACCCACATTTACAAATATGGAAACGTCATAGAACAAACCAGATGACGTCACTATTGAACATCAATATGACGTAATTTAACAACGGGCGTGATAATGGCCCGTCGTCAAACAATATTAGGGCATTATCAAGTTACAGTGGCCGTTCATTTAAGAATTGACCTTCACTTTGTGTGAGTTCATTGGAGTATGAACCTTCATAGAGTGAGGGCCAAACTGTATGAACGTAGGAGCTTGCGACACTATGAAGGTTTATACTCCAATGAACTCACACAAAGTGAAAGTCAATTCTTATAATTTTTTATCACAATTTCTTACCTAAAAGGATGCAGGCCAAGATCTAAACACAAATATGTTTAGTACGTGTGACTTAATGTTTACACTGACAGCCATACAACAACCAGCTATATCGCGGAGTAAAATAGTTCCTCAAAAAGAGAGGTGACATGGGCGTATGGATGCACAACTTGCTCTTCCGAAACATCTTACGCAGCACGTGTTCAAATCATATCCTCATTAGATAAGAAAGGTATGTAAAGGTCTGTTCAAAAGCGAACTCACCGTTGTGTCGTCACTAGCCATGCTCATGCCTCCCTCGTTCCTTACTATTATCCATTCAACCTTACAGTGTTCCCTACCACACTTTTCTGTCACAAAAATCACCCGACGAATTATTAAATACCATATCATTCATGCGTACTCGCGAGTTCGACGTCTGACGTCTGACGCCTGGAGCCGTTTGCAGTTGCCATATCGGCTCAATCCTCACAACTCGGTATCTCGTAGATTACGGAATGGGACGAGTGTCCCTGAGTATGATGCGCTGGCGCTACACCAGGCAATGACCGCACAATGGCCGTCTCCACTAGACAGACAAACATGGCGGACATGACTGTGTTTACTAAAGTAAGACGCTAAAATGGGTGGCTAAAGTTCATTTTCATGAATGCTGTTACAATGTATATGTCACGAGAATAACGTCAAATTGTTACTTTTAGTGAAGGAAAATATTATTCAAGCTGTTTCGGGACAAATGTCGCCGATTATGCCCCGTTTCCTCCGATTGTTATGTTGAGGGTTGAGCGGAATTATTGAACGCCCTGTATAATAACTTGGAAAAAAATATTTTGATCCGCAAAAATGGTCTTTAAGGATAGGGACACGCCTTGGTTCTGATATTTGGCCACTGAATTTTATTTGGAATTTGTTTTGCTATTACATAATTAAATTAATCATAAGTAGATGAAAATGTTTTGAAAATAATATTTAATTAATTTCAATCTGGTGTTTTTATACTACAGTAGACTACGGTTATAACGAACACGCTTATAACGAACTACGGTTATAACGAACTAAAATTAGTAGTCCCTTTGATTTCGTTATAACCGTAGTTTACTGTATGTGGGTACTTGTAATTGCATATCATCCTGTGAAAAAGAGAATACACATGGAAGTGTCATTGTTTAATTAAAAATAAGGAACATATTCTATATTATTACCCCATGAGCCGGTATTTTTACATATACTACATTAGTTCTACATACGTACCTCGGTTATATTAAAGTTGAAGACTTCATTCATGAAAGTTGGCGCATGCGTCCTCAGAGTCTGAGTTGCCCACTCTGAACAAACATGCCCAATCAAACAAGCCCACGTGGCTGCTGACGTCATCATTAACAACCATGGCGTAGGGGAAACCTATGAATGCGAGCACATGTTCCCTCAGTAGACTGAACATGACGTTACCCGGATGTGACATGACTGACAATATAGACTGGTAGAGAATGATGAGCTGATCTAATAATCTGAAACACATTAGGTGTGTGTTCACATTGGAGGTGAGGTGAAATGGGGTTTAACGTCGCGTCCAAGATTATTGCACTTATATAGCGACGTGCATGTACGTGTGTGTGTTTGTGTGGCTGCTTGTACTAGTCCGGACTGATGCCGATTTATAGTACTAACTCACTGAGATACCATGCCGCAGTTTAACATGAATACCCAACTCAGACACAGTATACTGACTCCGAGCCGAGCAGTCCTTGTTTTAGCCCCTTAATTTCGAGCGCCAGACAGGGTAACAACAAGTACCATCTTCTAACGTCTTTTGGTATGACGCGGCCGGGGATCGAACCCCGGACCTTCCGCTCTCCTGGCGGACGCTCTACCATTAGACCACGGAGGCGTCTGGTCACATTGGACGTCAACTGTTTGGATTGATAACTCTGAACTCCTTCTGACTTCTAGAGCATTGCGTATACACCACTCAACATGGCATTACGCGGCCATGAACGCTTGTCGCCATCGCTAGGGGGACACACAGACAGACTTCGGACGTCACATACAAAGTTAGTTCACGCAACTTATGATACCGGTAGTTGCGTATCTGAGGTATGTTGACATAGATAATTCCGTTGTTTTTAGGATTCGTGAGTATTAAGGTGGCTTGTAGCTCACTGAGTCTGGATTAGAGAACAGCGTGGCGATAGCGTGAGCAAAGAACATTGGGGAGCGATTACATGCGAATCCCCGCCCTGGAATTTCCACCTAGAGATTTTCGTGATTCGTGTAGCATTTAACAATTGCTAAATTGACATACGTCTTATAATATACATGCACATCTAACTATAAATACATTTTATTTTTCAAGCATACATTTTAGTTTTCAAGCATCAAGTGATATAAGGTCAAAAAACATTCATAGGGCCAGACCCGTGAAGATACCGGGGTAGAATATATATAGGTCTTCAGCAACCCATGCTTGCCGTAAAAGGCGACTTTGCTTGTCGTAAAAGGCGACTAACGGGATCGGGTGGTCAGGCTCGCTGACTTGGTTGATGCATGTCATCGATCCCAATTGCGTGGATCGACGCTCATGATGTCAATCACTGGATTGTCTGGTCCAGACTCGATTATTTACAGACCGCCGTCATATAGCTGGAATAATGCTGAGTGCGGCGTTAAACAACAATCCAACCAACCAATCATAGGGCCACGTTTGGTTTCACTAAGATTAGCCGGAAAGTGTTGCAAAACTCGGTGCCTCACCTTGTGGGAGCCCCCTATACTGTCCAGGATGTAGGTTCTCTCTTCCCGTGAGATGCGGGGATGTTGGGAGGGAGTGCTTGACACGGTGATGCACCACACCCCACACCATAACACACAAAGCCCACCTACACAGGTAAGACAGATATTATATGTCTCCATAGTCTTCACTACAGCAATTCTCAATCTCTTCTTTCTTTGTTTTTGTTTAATGCTAAATTGGATCGTACATGATCCTCTAAAATAGTATTAGTTTTACTTGTGTATGATCCTCCAGTATTAGTTGCCGTGTAACTGTCAATCGTCCCCCAAAATACTTAATATCAACATTTTTTCACATCCTCCGTTTGTTTGTTTCTTTGTTGTTCAACGCAACACTCAGCAATATTATATTCCAGCTACATGACGATAGTCTGTAAATAATCGAGTCTGGACCACACAATCCAGTGATTGATATCATCATTATCGGTCAACACAAAGGGGATGCGATGACATGCACTAACCAAGTCAGCTAGACTGACCACCCGATGCCGTTAGTCGCCTCTTACGACAAGCATAGTCGCCTTTGTACGGCAAGCATGGGTTGCTGAAGACCTATTCTACCCCGGATCTTTACGGGCCTGACACATCCTCTGTACATATATAAGTCTACATCTAATTAGGATCTTGTATTACATTTATTTCTTATCATGTGTCCGTCATGATAGGTTCAGTTTTATATCTAAATATGATCTTTATATGAATTCCAATTGATATTCTATCAATGCTAACATACAAAATTTCATATGAGTTGACATATGTCTCCATGTGTGTGTCTAAATATTCATCTGACTTAACATCAGTGAGTGAGTGAGTTTTGTTTTATGCTTCTTTTAGCGTTAATCTAGCAACATCACACTGGGGGACACTAGATATGGGCTTCACACATTGAACCCATATGGGGAATCGAACCCGGGCCTTCGGCGTGACGGGTGAACGCTTTAACCACGAGGTTACCCAAATGCCCTTTTACAACAATAGCATTTATAATCTTCAAAAAACGAAACGCAAAACGGATATTCCCGAGACAAGAGAGTTAATTGACTTCAAAAGTCCAGTTTCCACCCTTGCCGACCTAGGCTGGAATTCCTGGGCTCGATCGTAGCGCCACCTGTCGCTTTTACGTGTTATGTCCTTTCCATGCCTCTCCTATGGACCAATCACATTCCACCTCTCTTATCACTTGCATTTGCTTCAAACAAAATGGCGGTGTAAATCCACACGCCGACGTCAACCACAACCCCACACGTTGCAGCAGTTGGCTTTTACGTTGCAGGCCGAGTGGGCTACCATTTCCAAGGATGTGATTCACATACTCGTCTCTTCCATGGGCAAGATGTGTCAGGCCGCTATCGATTCCAACGGGGGACATACGCGTTATTGATGGTAACTGACCTTCACCTTGGACTTTTCCTATGTACCGATAACTGAGATGACTACAATCACCAAGTGTTCTCTCCACAACATTTTGGTTCAATTCCTAGGACGGTTCCTCGTATAAATGTATTTTCCTACCGCACACAAAACTGGCTTTGCGTTTCTTGTTTAGGAGTATATAAGAAAACGAATACCAGCTTTTGTTTTTTCATCTAGCGACGTTTCGATATAGATTCTTACTCCGTTATTAATCGACGTCGAAACGTCAATTTTGTTATCGACACAATTGTACGTTTTCCTATTTACTCACAAACCTCTAAAATGCAAACCAAACAGGTAACACGAATTCAGTTTTCCTATGTTAAGACATTTAGATTATCCAGTATATACAAAATGCAAACTTCATACAGAACCTGATAAATAGAACATTGAACCCCAGCCATTGTCGAAGCCGTACTCGCAGAGAAAGCCAGAAAACGCAAAAGCTGCTATAGTTCCAATTTTTGTTCCTGAAATGTGATTGTTGACAGTTAACATACAGATATGCTATATGAATTCATCATTTCAACATTCGGGGATGATTCTACGAACAGAACATTTTTACCGCACACGACATCATATACACACAATGTTGAAGACAACCTGATTCTTGCATTGTAGTGAGTGAGTAAGTGAGTGAGTTGGGTTTGACGCCGCTTTTAACATTATTCCAGTTATATCACGGCGTGTCAGCTCAATGTGGGAGGAAAGCCCGAAGTGATGCAGGTCTTAGACGTTTACCACTTCGGTGAAACCCTCGAGCACGGGTATGGTGCTGACAAACCTAGAAACAAAATCGGGGTGAACCAGGATTCGAACCCACAATCCTAGGTTTCTGGTCTTTCATTGTAAGATATATTAGTTTCTGGTAATAGTTGTATGATCAAAATAAACAAACTGGCAACACATACATCCGGTAGGCTGTACGAAAATGAGTTTAGAATCTAAACTCAGACAAGACATGCTTAGATCTAAACATGATTAGGAATGTTTTTTAACCCTTAGCGGAATACACATTTGGTGCGTTTTATCTAAACGCATGTAGGGGCGGTCGGGTAGCCTAGTGGTTAAAGCGTTCGCTTGTCACGCCGAAGACCCGGGTTCGATTCCCGACATGGGTACAATCTGTGAAGCCCATTTCTGGTGTCCCCCGCCGTGATATTGCTGGAATATTGCTAAAGGCGGCGTAAAACCTCACTCACTCACTCACTCACTCACTCCTGTACATGAGGGACACTGACTGACACTCACTCACTCACTAAACGCATGTAAGTCTAAACACCTGAAATGGGCTATCATCTCACAGCCTGAACACCGCCTCAACATAACGTCAGAATTTAAACATGTTTCAATAAAGTGCATATAATTAGGCAATATATCAAATATGGATAAGATGTACAATATAAATGGAAATTATATGTGTAAATCAGATTCACAGGCACTTGTATAACACATATTCGGCGGAACTCGGTTAATTGCGACAAGGTGACACTTAAGCTTGTACGACAACAGCCACCATAGCACAAATCAAGAATTAATAGTATTTCTCTCATACAGGAGTAAGTGAGTGAGTATGGTTTTACGCCGCTTTTAGCAATATTCCAGCAATATCACGGCGGGGGACACCAGAAATGGGCTTCACACAATGTACCCATGTCGGGAATCGAACCCGGGTCTTCGTCGTGACGAGCGTACGCTTAACCACTAGGCTACCCGACCGTCCCTCTCATACAGGAGGTTGACAATGAAAGTGTATCTGATAACTACGAAAGACCCTTAACTTTTTTAAGTTACCACCCAGGTCCTATATTTTCGAAACCATCTTGACCCATAAACTGTCGTAAAGATATCGTAGACTGCCGTAGCCTATTCACGAAACTACCGAAATCTATGCTAACTCCATACCAGTCCTAAGTCCAGGCTCATTATTTACTGTCTTCTGTCATATTGCTAGGATATGCTTTGTTAAACGACAAACAGCCATACTGAAAGAGAGGTGAGGTGAGGTGAGGTGAGGTGAAATGGGGTTTAACGTCGCGTCCAAGATTATTGCACTTATATAGCGACGTGCATGCACGTGTATGTGTGTGTGGCTGCTTGTACTAGTCCGGACTGATGCCGATTTATAGTGCGAACTCATTGAGATACCATGCCGCAGTTTAACATGAATACCCCACTCAGACACAGTATACTGACTCCGAGCCGACCAGACCTTGTCTTAGCCCCTTAATGCCGAGCGCCAGACAGGGTAACAACGAGTTCCATCTTTTAACGTCTTTTGGTATGACGCGGCTGGGGATCGAACCCCGGACCTTCCGCTCTCCGGGCGGACGCTCTACTACTAGACCACGGAGGCGGTCACTAAAAGAGAGGACCTTTTAAGACATACTCCATGGAGGAAAGAGTTGAGAGTGACCTTTGGGTACAGGAGAGGAACGACGTCAGAATTTGTGACCACGAGGGTTATTCATGACATTTTCGTCATTGTGGTCCCTCCGGCAGGCATATGTTTAACACTGACATTGGTCTGTTCTTTGCGCGGGATATTTGAGTGTAACGTATTTTCTACTTTAAGTCATGTCCCCGAGGCACTTGGGGTGTTGCTTTATCGCGTGACATTGGTTGTTATGTAGGACGGGAAGGCTTCACAAATCTCAAAGGTACAGAAGCAAAATGTTTAAATCGATGTAAAGAAATAGAGAATCTCACCCTCGTGTCTTTTGATATCAAATATATCAACACTATAGTTGATAAAAGTGGGAAAACTCCGAGGCTTGCCGATGATTTTTTCCACTTTTATCAACGTGTGTTGATATATTTGATATCAAAAGACACGAGGGTGAGATTTTATTTATCATCCAACATCATTCTTTTCAGTTTGTAGACAGTAATAAGCAGTGTCTTAAGTGTAAACAGTGTCTTAAGTGTCTTAAGTGTACTGCTAACAGCTTCAGTAGCAGAGTCATTAGTGATGTCATTTGATTGTGACGTCATGGTAACCAATGACGTCACTATGGTCTGCAAAGCATTGTGATGATGCAATTTCATTGCAGCGATATCTGCAGAGTAGATATCGCTTGATCTCACCCAAGCGATATCTCCTGTGGGTGCCAGTTTGGGATGATGAAGATAAATATTTAAAAGTCTCTAGAAATCCCTACAAAGAAATCAAGAACGTTTCACCTGAATAGCAGATGGCCAGCAGTTTGGTCCTCTCGAGTGGGGGCGCCCATTGCCCCCACATACTGTGCATTGAGGGGAAATAGACGCCCTACAAATAGAATAGGTCATGGGGTGTATTGAGGGGAAATACACGCCCTGAAATCAGCAATAGGTCATGGAGTACATTGAGGGGAAAAAGACGCCCTGAAAACAGCAATAGGTCATGGAGTGCATTGAGGGGAAATAGACGCCCTGAAACAGCAATAGGTCATGGAGTACATTGAGGGGAAATAGACGCCCTGAAAACAGCAATAGGTCAATGAGTGCATTGAGGGGAAATAGACGCCAAGAAAACAGCAATAGGTCATGGAGTACATTGAGGGGAAATAGACGCGTTGAATGCAGCAATAGGTCATGGAGTGCATTGAGGGGAAATAGACGCCAAGAAAGCAGCAATAGGTCATGGAGTACATTGAGGGGAAATAGACGCCAAGAAAACAGAAATAGGTCATTGAGTACATTGAGGGGAAATAGACGCCAAGAAAACAGCAATAGGTCATGGAGTGCATAGAGGGGAAATAGACGCCAAGAAAACAGCAATAGGTCATGGAGTACATTGAGGGGAAATAGACGCGTTGAATGCAGCAATAGGTCATGGAGTGCATTGAGGGGAAATAGACGCGTTGAAAACAGCAATAGGTCATGGAGTACATTGAGGGGAAATAGACGCCCTGAAACAGCAATAGGTCATGGAGTACATTGAGGGGAAACAGACTCCCTGAAAACAGCAATAGGTCATGGAGTACATTGAGGGGAAATAGACGCCCTGAAAACAGCAATAGGTCATGGAGTACATTGAGGGGAAATAGACGCCCTGAAACAGCAATAGGTCATGGAGTACATTGAGGGGAAATAGACGCGTTGAATGCAGCAATAGGTCATGGAGTGCATTGAGGGGAAATAGACGCCAAGAAAGCAGCAATAGGTCATGGAGTACATTGAGGGGAAATAGATGCGTTGAAAACAGCAATAGGTCATTGAGTACATTGAGGGGAAATAGACGCGTTGAATGCAGCAATAGGTCATGGAGTACATTGAGGGGAAATAGACGCCAAGAAAACAGCAATAGATCATGGAGTACATTGAGGGGAAATAGACGCGTTGAAAACAGCAATAGGTCATGGAGTGCATTGAAGGGAAATAGACGCGTTGAAAGCAGCAATAGGTCATGGAGTGCATTGAGGGGAAATATACGCCAAGAAAACAGCAATAGGTCATAGGGGATTGAGGGGAAATAGACGCCAAGAAAACAGCAATAGATCATGGAGTACATTGAGGGGAAATAGACGCGTTGAATGCAGCAATAGGTCATGGAGTGCATTGAGGGGAAATAGACGCCAAGAAAACAGCAATAGATCATGGAGTACATTGAGGGGAAATAGACGCGTTGAAAACAGCAATAGGTCATTGAGTGCATTGAAGGGAAATAGACGCGTTGAAAGCAGCAATAGGTCATGGAGTGCATTGAGGGGAAATAGACGCGTTGAAAACAGCAATAGGTCATGGAGTGCATTGAGGGGAAATAGACGCCAAGAAAACAGCAATAGGTCATGGAGTGCATTGAGGGGAAATAGACGCGTTGAAAGCAACAATAGGTCATGGAGAGCATTGAGGGCAAATAGACGCGTTGAAACCAACAATAGGTCATGGGGTGCATTGAGGGGAAATAGACGCGTTGAAAGCAACAATAGGTCATGGGGTGGTATTGAGGGGAAATAGACGCGTTGAAAGCAACAATAGGTCATGGGGTGCATTGAGGGGAAAAAGACGCGTTGAAAACAGCAATAGGTCATGGAGTACATTGAGGGGAAACAGACGCCCTGAAAACAATAAGAGGCAACCAATTGCCTGACACCCCACTCAGCAGTAGTCCAAAATTGTCCCTGTCATAAACACAAATATGTACTCAATGATACCAGTAGTATTGAGGATGAGTATCACAGATTGCATGAAATATATCGGCTGAACTAGGAATAAAATGGATATTATTGTATACGTGTTTGGGGCCATAATGACCACTTGGTGATTGTTGACGATCGCCTGAAGAATTGGTCAACAACCCAATCAGACTACGATGCCAATATGCTACATGACTCAAGGGGTGGATTTGACAGGTTTTTTTTGCAGTGAACTGGGCTGGTAGCAAGCTACTGTTTTTCCTGTGATCTAAAAAACATGTCATTCCAATCGTCAAATGTCTTTAAAACAAATTATGCAGAGATGACTGTCAGGAAGGAGGGCCTTATGACAGTGAAGGTCAAAGGGGCATCCAAGGGGAACAACTCTTGTGATCATGTTGTCAATCCTCTATTCATTACGTTTTAAGGCTAATATACCACCATCATAATGCTGCAAATATGTTTGAAGGTCAAAGAGGCATCCAAGGGGAACAACTCTTGGGATCATGTTGTCAATCCACTATGCATTAAGTATAAAGGCCAACATACCACCATCATAAGGCATGCAAATATATTAAGACTATTCTTGCAGAAAGTTAACATTTCGCCATGATCCATTAACTATCATTACAATTTCAGCTGCCACAACCATTCATTTTGTCACCTGTGAAGCGCCAAGTATCACGCGCAGCACATACACCAGGTAGATGGACGTCCGGGCCCCGATTGGTAGAAGCAGTGTGGTGATTGATCCAATCAGCATTCCGATAAACACGACGTGCTTCCCGCCATATTTACTGGCCAGAATTCCCGCGGGAATCTGTGTAACCATATAGCCATAGAAAGAGGCGCTGAGGATACCCGCTTGCTCGCTCTTCGACCAGAAGAATTCAGCATGCTAAAAATAATATGGATGACAATTTTTCATCTTTTTTTTATAATTCTTGTGGGAGTTTCTGGTATATACAGACTCTGCACTGTCCCAGGTGATGTAGTTGAGATATGATTTCGAATGAGTGAGTGCGTGAATGGTTGAGTGAGTAGGGTCTTACTGAGCTGCAGCAATATCCAATATCAGAGGCCTCCAGAAATGGATAGAGTGAGTGAGTGAGTGAGTATTGTTTTTTCGCCGCTTTTAGCAATATCCAGCAATATCACGGCAAGGGACACCAGAATTTGGCTCCATACATTGTGCCAATGTTGGGAATCGAACCCGGGTGAACTTCGGCGTGACGAGCGATCGCCTTTATCACTAGGTTACCCAACCGCCCCAGAAACGGAGAAACGCAAAAATGAGCCATAATCTGTACCTCTGAAACTGGTGATGTGGTCTTCGTAGTGTTGATGGTGTTGAGGTCGGTGTTGTTGACCATGCATACGATGGCCACACTGAGAATTGCTCTGTTCGACTCTAACATCACCCCTCCGAACAGGCCAACGAATGCCAACAGCAATCTTTGTGAACAGAGGCTCCGGCCTGTGATCATACGAAAGTCATATACAAGTTTTGTTTTGTTTGTTTGTTTGTTCTTTTACGCCGCACTCAGCAATATTCCAGCTATGTGACGGCGGTCTGTAAATAATCGAGCCTGGACCAGACAATCCAGAAATTGGCATCATGAGCATCGGGATACGATGACATGCATCAACTGACCACCCGATCCCGTTAGTCACCTCTTACGACAACCATGGTCGCCTTTTAAGGCAAGCATGGGTTGCTGAAGACCTATTCTACCCCGGATCTCACATATACAAGTGGGACTGACTTGTGGTGCGTGAAAGTTCTCAATATGAGAGTTATATGACCACAGTTTCCACATCGTTTTGGTTTTGATGACCATATATATTTACATGCATCCCTACCGTCAAAAACCAAATATATGTCATCTAAAGTTTACAGGAAAACAAAATGTGAAATGCTGGACTTCTTTACAGATAAATATAACATTTATGTGAAAAATTAGGTACAGGACATTAAGGCAAGAAGTAAGCAGCCCCATTGGCACCAATTGTATCCCTGATCTTGCTAATCTGATTCTTCATGCATATGAATCGGAATTTGTGCTTGGATTTGCAAAATTAAATCATGGGAATTTGGCTAAGAATTCTAAATTAAGTTTCAGAAATTTCAACGACCTGATATCGTTCATCAGCCATCAAATAGCCATTTTCCTTCCGCTGAATTATTCACCTTAACTAGAAAACGAATCAAACCGCCTCATCTAGATCTTTCAATAACGATGCAGAGTGACAGGGGCACCAGTAATGGATTCCCACAGTGTACCTATCTGTTGAATCGATCCTGGATCTTCGGTGAGAAGACGACCGTTTATCATCTAGGCTACCCGCCGCCCCTCCACCAGGGTGAACAATCAAGCCCTCAGTAAAGCTTTCAAAAGGTGTTATGGTAAACTTGTGTGTGGAGGACATGTCCAAATTTGACATATTCTGATGCAATTCGCTGTTTGGACTTGTACAAAATGTCCACGGATGGCGAAGGATACGCGCACCTTTCTGCGAACCCCTGGTGTGATCGCCGTTTGAGAGTGATTCAGAAATATTGTCCATTGTACGATTCCGACTGTATCATGAGAATGGGCTATTTGCTATTCCCTTCTTTTTATTTTGCTATTTGCTTTCACTTTTTGACAAATTGACCTGCATCTCTGGAGAAAGACATGTAACTATATATATTGTCACCACGTTCACCATGGTGTACAATTGAAATATCAAATCTTTTTGACAGATTGAACTTGACTATTTTCTGAAATTGCAAAAGGCCAAGAAGGCTTGAGAATCCACAGATTTTACATTTAACGTGTCCGTAAAGAGAGTCGTTCCTTCATTGTAATCAAGAAATAAACGACGAGTTTTTTATCATCACATAAAACACTGCAGGGAGAATAATTTCTGAGGGGCTCCGAGTGATTTATCTCCTTGCAGTGTTTTAGTGTACAATAAACGATAAACAACGACCACGAGTCGTTTACTTCTTATATTAGATGTTAGCATTATTTACAACCTTATTTTTTATATGAGTTGTTAGAATTATTTACAACCTTTAAATTTTGATATTTCCTGACTATTCTCACAGTTCTCACTTTTTCATTACGATTATCTGTACCTTTTTCTCCCAAAACCGATTGCCATATTTCGCCCACCTTTGGATGCGATCTTTCGGTCATTGCGTTTATTTGCGTTGCATCTAAGGGGAACAACTTACTACCCTCTCAAAAATAAAGTCGTCCAAATTACGACGTCATCAAGTTGCCAGCCTATGTTCGAATTTTCAGAAAGGACGTCATGATAATGTTTCATCGTGAAATAAACCACGCTCGTTCTTCATTGTTCCTTCCCATATATCGAGTAGCTATCATATATTAAGCATAATGCTTTACTTTGAGACATGGATGTAGTGGTACATTTGCTGGAACCAGCAATGTATGTCTCTTTGTTCGGGTGTGAATGGAGCTTTGCAATCCAATACAAAAGAGGAATGGACATCAGGTTTTAGAATCAAGTTAAAAGTCGATTGTACTGATGCATGAATTTGGCTATTTTTCCCTCAGTTAACATACTGGCCATACATGTGAAATTATATGTGATAAGTCACTCACACCAAGTTCTTTGATCAAACACATGAGATTGTAGGAATAGTACAATGCTTTTATTTTGGACAGATCATACACAATGAGTCAATCCCACATTGGGCCACCCGATTCTAATTAGTCAGCTCTTAATACATGCATGGGGAACTGGGGACCTACTTTCTCCGTTAGGGCATGCATTCGTTACTGGGAACTTGACTATCCCGAAAAACCCGTTATGATAATAATAATAATGTGCACTTATAATGCGCTAGCCTCCATGTAGTGTTCATGCTCAAAGCACTACATTCAAATGTCACCCTGGAAAGCATTTTTGAACAAATGTGTCTTTAGTTTTGCTTTGAATGTCTGAAATGTTGAGGAAAGTTTAATCTCAAGTGGGTACTGGAACCTATTCTGCTCCAGTCTTCACTAAGGAAACACACATTGGGTACTGGGACGTTTTCTGCTCCGGTCTCAACTTAGGAAACACACGTTTGGTACTGGAACCTTTTCTGCTCAAGTCTTCACACAGGAAACACACGTTGGGTACTGGAACCTATTCTGCTCCAGTCTCCACACAGGAAACACATTTTTGGTGCTTTGGACCTTTTCTGCTCCGGTCTTCACACAGGAAACACATGTTGGGTAGTGAAACCTATTCTGCTCCAGTCTTCACACAGGAAACACCCGTTGGGGACTGGGACCTTTTCTGCTCCGGTCTTCACACAGGAAACACATGTTGGGTGCTGGGACCTTTTCTGCTTCGGTCTTCACACAGGAAACACACGTTGTGTGTTCATACCTATTCTGCTCCAGTCTTCACACAGGAAACACCCGTTGGGTGTTGGTACCTATTCTGCGCCGGTCTTCACACAGGAAACACACGTAGGGTACTTGGACCTTTTCTGCTCAAATCTTCACACAGGGAACACACGTAGGGTACTCGGACCTTTTCTGCTCCAGTCTTCACACAGGGAACACACGTAGGGTACTGGGACCTTTTCTGCTCCGGTCTTGACACAGGAAACACATGTTTGGTACTGGGACCTTTTCTGTTCCAGTCTTGACACAGGAAACACCCGTTGGGTATTGGGACCTATTCTGCTCCGGTCTTCACACAGGAAACACACATTGGGTACTGGGACCTTTTCTGCTCCGGTCTTGACACAGGAAACACATGTTGGGCGCTGGGACCTTTTCTGCTCCAGTCTCCACACAGGAAACACACATTGGGTACTGGGACCTTTTCTGCTCCGGTCTTCACACAGGAAACACATGTTGGGTGCTGGGACCTTTTACTGCTCCGGTCTTCACACAGGAAACACACGTTGGGTGTTGGTACCTATTCTGCTCCAGTCTTCACACAGAAAACACCCGTTGAGTGTTGGTACCTATTCTGCTTCGGTCTTCACACAGGAAACACACTTAGGGTACTGTGACCTTTTCTGCTCCGGTCTTCACACGGGGAGCACACATTGCGCACGTGGCCCTTTTCTGGTCTCTTCACCCCCACCGCCCACCCTTAACCCCCCATACCCCATACCCCATCCCAACCCCCCAACCCCCTGCCCCAGGGTAAAGGTGAAACGAGTTATGAGCTTTGGCGTTAGTGTATCAATTCCTGTTTTCAATGGTCTAGTAATGATATTAAATTAAACAGTTGTTCACACATACACGTAATGTGCTTCCTTATACCTTTATTTTCAGGTGCCCCACTGATTTCGGATGGCGGTTGATGTTTAAGGTGACCGTTCTGAAAGAAACCGTTATTCTCCACAGCTGCATCGTTCCCTGTCATATCGAGTGTAGGTACTGAAACATATTGGATTTCAACGTATTCTAAATTATCACTGGTCTTTGGTGTCTTATTCGAGCTGTTGGGGATTAAACTTTCCGTTAGTATCAATGCTGATTGGTCAGCTGTGATATGTCTGATTGCTTCATTGACGAGAACAATGTAATATTACGTCATGTCCATGACGTCACGTATTGAATACGTTATATTATAAGAGGAAAGTTTCTCTGTGACCTGACATTCGTGTAAAAATTTGCACATAAATTAGAAATAATATTATATTTAATATTATTTTCTATTTTCAAATTAGAAACGAATGGCAACCTTTTACTGATGGCCGTTGTTGCAACTGGCCAATTTTCTAAACCTCTTATTCGTTCATCAACCTTATCAATTGTCATTTAAAGTTAACTTGCATGCATGTTTTTTTTATGGTCACCCTTGTCCATAATGATAAACGCATTCGTCCCCGATTACAAGACACCCAAGTACATCAAACCGTGATCAAGTAGTCGAGTGGTTAAAGCGTTCGCTCGTCATGCCGAAGACCCGGGTTCGATTCCCGACATTGGTACAATGTGTGAAGTCCATTTCTGGTGTCCCCCGCCGTGATATTGCTGGATTATTGCTAAAAGCGGCGAAAAACCATACTCACTCACTCACTCAATCACTCACTCACTCACTTACAGTGATCACACGTTGCACCAGTTGCTCAACCATATTTCGGGGCGGTCGGGTATCCTGGTGGTTAAAGCGTTCGCTCGTCACGCCGAAGACCCAGGTTCGATTCCCGACGTGGGGGACAATGTGTGAAGCCCATTTCTGGTGTCCCCCGCCGTGATTTTGCTGGAATATTGCTAAAAGCGGCGTAAAACCATACTCACTCACTATACTATATTTAGGAAATTGCTCGCATAAAATACAGATGTTTCCTGTGTTGAAATAATGTTTAGTGTGTCTAAATTATATTATTCATATTATATAATATTTGTTATTTTTTATGTATCATAATCATCACCATTTCAATGCCAATTATCAGTCACTTGACACTCCACGACAAACCTAATCTCACATACTCACAGTATCTTCTCTTTGAAGGTTATGACTCTAAAGAAATGACCTTTCACATCGTGACGTGAATCAGCTAAATTCTTAGTCAGTGACTCACGTCACCACGGACGTTGAACGTCACGTCTTGGAAATATACTATAATTAATATATTGAATAACCCACTTGAATCACGGAATTACTGATTATGGGTCAAACATGAAAATAATGACGCTGTAATTCAAGCTGGCATCCTGAGTTATCAAGGGCATAGTCTCCCAAACATGAAAACAGCCCTGGACCCATTCGCCACCATGTCATCGCTGGCAACATTTCTCTTTATTTTGCGAATCCGTGCAGACATTCTGATTCCTATGCATTAAGCAACAGATCTTTCACCCTCCCCTCCAAACTGTGTTTAATATTGCCCAGTGACCTCTAAGTAATTGGTGGTTATGGACAGTATTACAGTCACATCACAGCAGTCTGATTTCCATGTCCCCCTTTCTGTCATTTAGAATTTTGATTTATGATACGTTCCGAAATTTTTGTACATGAAAAGAGAAAAAAGTCCTTATAAAGAGGAATTAAGATATGAATCGGTACATATAAACAACATACTGCCAAACCTTCACTGTAATTAACATTGAAGTTCACAATAGGGGTTTGATAGATCATCGCAATAAAACTCTACACGTGATAGGTGCAACATGGAGATATTATGGTGATGTATCATAGACTGTACTGGACAAATGAACACATTGTATATATACTCAAAAATATAAATATTCATACTCAGATTGAACATTAGAAAAGTATGCGGTGTTTACCTGTGAATTATTTTGTATTTCGACTCTCAGTAGATGATCAGAGACATAAACTGCAATGCTCCTCGACGAGCTGATAATCCCATTCATTCATGTAGCGTCCGTCCTTTACGCGGTAACCTTTGAACGACATTGTGCTTGCAAGCTGGCTTGGTCCCATTACTGTGCCTGTGTTACAGTAAGTCACGGTATTAAAAATATATGTTGGCTGCATAATGAGTGACTGATTGTTCGTCATGACAAAACTGCTGACATGTTTTTGCTAATGAAGTTAATACAAGGAGTGGCTGTGTATATTTTCGGCTCATTGAGGTGTGGAGGAAATTCAAACCGTACGAATTTTATGAATCCTAGGAGTGGATAAGGATAGGAATCATACCTCAAAGGAGCGAACAAATACAGTCATCCTTGAAATTTAATGTTCACCTAAGTTTTATTCGTTTGTTGTTTAACGCCGCACTCGGCAATATTCCAGCTATATGACGCCAGTCGGTATATAAAAGAGTCTGGACCAGACAGTCCAGTGATTGATATTGTGCGCATCGATCAACGCAATTGGGACACGATGACATGCATCAACCAAGTCAGCGAGCCTGACCACTCGATCCTGTTAATCGCCTCCCACGACAAGCATAGTCGCCTTTTACGGCAAGCTTGGGTTGCTGAAGTCAAATTCTAATTCTGATCGTCATGGGTGTTCTCATCAGTAATGTAATGGCAAACACTCATATAAATCAATTACATACTTTTATGATGGGATCGATACACATTCCTGGAGTAGGAATGAAATTTCTGGCTGGATATGAATCAGGTAACTGCTTAATTCATGAACATAAGCTGGAAAGCCTCCAAAGTCAGTAGCCATGCAACGCAAATTAACACCAAACAAAGTTCACTGAGCCTGTCAACAAAGGCATACAAAGGGAAATAACTCCCAACTACAGGATGAACTAAGAGCAGTTACGGTCGTTTCTGTAGCTTCACACACTTTCCATGTTTATCCTTAACCTGTCCTGTTTGTCCTGTAACGTATCAGTAAATACAGAGATCGCAGCTCGTACTTATGATTGGTCCTGAAAATTGTAATTTCGATCGACGGGTACATTGATCTTAGCCTACAATGGCTTTTTGAAAGTGGATGGGGACTTAAGCCGAGATCTAATATAATCACGATCTTATGGATTTACAAAAATTACCTCGATAATAAATTCGCAAGTAGGCCCTGGTGAGAGGCTGTCATGGAATCACTCGACATCCTTTGGGGTTCTTCTGAGGTCAAAGGTGTCCGTATCGGTGGTACTTTTTGTATTCATTGGGGAATGAAAAATACAAAATAATTTGACTCATTTAGCCATACAGATTGCAGTTATTAGAATGAACGCAGACAACAATGCATACTTGACAATTGTTGTGTTTGAGCAACAATTAATAGTATCATGCAAAATTGTTTTCCACAGCAGTTATATTTTTGGTGAGATTCTAGCAGGTATCGGTACAATGAAATTGCATCAGAATGCGTTGGAGACCATTGTGACATCATCGGTTACCATGACGACGCGAATGGTTGATTCGCAATGAGTCGTGGATGAAGGTTATAACCTCCTCGGAAAGCATCGGAGTTTAAAACTTTAATCGACTTGGGTTGATATAGTTCACACCAAAAGATATTCCGGTGTTATTATCTATTTATTGTCTGTGCTTGAGCATCAGTTGATATTTGGTGACCCTTTAGTATAATCCATTCGCTAACTGAGTTAAGCTGAAGTGGAAGTATGTTATAAACCAACGTTCATCTTCTCTGCACGGACGTACGCGCGTGTTCGCGCGATCAAATTTATTTCACATCACTTTAGGCTCGTAAAACAACAAGAGCAAAAGTGAGCGTGGCTCACTAATACTCCCGATCCGCCTAGTGTGTCAGTAGTTTCAAATTAAATAGCTAGGATAGGGTTAAGGTTTGAAAAATTCATTTAAAAAATGAAAAATTCATAAAAACATTTTTTTTTCTTTTGACTGCACCCCTCCATATGAGACAGATTCTATGTACTAAGTTTGAGATGAATCCACTGAATCGTTTAGGAGAAATCGCGCCGACAAAGTTTTCGGACGGACGTTAGGGTTTGAAAAACTCATTAAAAAAAAAGGAAAATTAACAACAAAAAAAGTTTTCTTTTGACTGCACCCCTCCATATGACACAGATTATATGTACTAGGTTTGAGATGAATCCACTGAATAGTTTAAGAGAAATCGCGCGGACAAAGTTTTCGGACGAACGGACGGACGGAACCTTGGTATAACTATATAATAAAATGGGGTATAATAAAATGGAAGGAAAATATGGATTTATTTCTCGTTCTGGTTCTGGAATATTCCTTAGCGAAAATAGTGTCACATGTAAGTATACATGTTTCCTGTCGTTGCGTCATCCCTATAACCATCTAAAGCCACGCCCAGCAACGGGCCAGTTTAAACCATCAGACACGCACACGAGACATACAGGTTACATTACAGGGTTGAACGAGTCATCTCCGAGATCCTATTCAAAACACGTGCCTGACGTTTTAAAGCTGAGAAGACTATCAGTAGTTACCAAATATAGACATCGACAGAAAGGGCTTCATCATGGTTGCGACCAGCTGTGCCCTGACCCGGATATGACGCGGTTACGAATTCACACCAAGATGGCCAGGCAACAAACAAGACAAAGTTGTATTTGTTGTATTTTCAGAAAAAAAACCATATACGATGTTTAATAAGACTTGTCACGGGAATAATTTTCATAAATATTTCCCATCACCACGTTCATTTCGTACTTCTTAGTCCAATCAGTATAGTTGAGAATATGTATTGTATATGCTGTCATATTCAAATTGTGTCGAATAATGCGTATACTTTGATAATCAGTGTATTTATTGAAAGTGAATGCAATCAATCAGCAATACTCCAGGTATATTTATGTGTCATGTACGTTATTGAATATGCACCATGCAAACCAGATCACCTCCCCCATGCTAAACCCCATCTTTTTCCCAACCTACCTTCACCTCCGGCACCCCACGCCAGCCTACCACCACTCCTTTATCCAGGGATACACCTCCCCCACCTACCAATACCCCCTTCCCACCGCGTTCACCACCAGCACACCACGTCAGCCCACCCCCACCCCCCGCCCCCCCACCCCCCAAATCAACCTCCAGCCAACCCCTACCACCACGTTCACCACCAGCACACCACGTCAGCCTACAACCACTCCTTTATCCCCAAATCCCCTCCGCCCTATACCTATACCCCCCTCCCCAAAATCAACCTCCAGCCACCCCCTTACTACCATCCCCCACCAAGTTCAAGTTCAGCCGGCTCCCACGTCAGCCACGCCCCCCCCCCCCCCCCCCCCCCCCCCCCCCCCTTGAAATAACGTCCTTCCTAACGTCCATCTTATCCACTCCACAACCCCAACCCGCATTTACCAGCTGTGTTTATCATATGCGTAATTGAGAAGCAGGGTATGCAGAACATAATAATCAGATTATATGGTAACACATCCACCCAAGACCCGTGAAGATCCGGGAATAAGGTCTTCATCAATCCATGCTTGCCGTAAAGGGAGACTATGCTTGTCCGTAAGAGGTGACTAACGGGATCGACTTAATGCATGTTATCGTATCCCAAGTGCGTAGATCAATGCTCATGATGTCAAGCAATGGATCGTCTCGCCCAGACTCGATTATGTACAGACAGCCGTCGTATAACTAGAATGTTGCTGAGTGCGGCGTTAAACAACAAACAAACATCCATCCATCCGAAATCCGTGTAACTTGACAAGGCTTCGTTCCCGTGTTTTTTTATGTGAACAATTGACTAGCTTTTGCATGTGTTTGTGACGGGTGCCATCGGTGGGGCAGGATACGCTCACCTCACTGCGAACACCAGGTATCATCACTATTTGATGGAGATTCATCAACTCATGCTCGTGATATATTCGGAATAGTACTATCGACTCTGCTTTTAGCATAGACTTCGTTTGGACATGCAAAGGTTTTTCTCGCTTTGTTAACTAGGCTAACATAGCACTTGCCCAAAGGCGGTTTTGTGATATGACCTCAGTTTTGACGAATACGTTTTACCATCCTTCTAACTGCAATTCTTACACACAGATTACACATACCAGTACCTGTCGTCAAAGATTTTCGATTGTTAGAATATTTATATATATATATTTAGTTTGTAGCGTATGTCCAAAATAGTGATTTACTTAATTTCACAAAAAAACTGGTTGTAATTTGGAAGTTGATATAATACATTTGATGTTCAAAACGTACGTAAAGGTACATGTAATGTAGGTGATGGAGACTGTCTGCTCGCAGGCACTCGTGAAGAGCAACCTCCTCGTGGTGAGTGCTGGGTAGCGCTAATAGCTCTTCCCCCGTGTGGAACCGGGGTAGAATATTTCCACAGCACCCCATTGCTGGTCGTAAGAGGCGTGGTGAGTGCTGGGTAGCGCTAATAGCTCTTCCCCCGTGTGGAACCGGGGTAGAATATTTCCACAGCACCCCATTGCTGGTCGTAAGAGGCGACCAAAGTGGGCAGCCCGTTTGCCGTGGGTTGCGTCCCTGTGTCGGCGGAGGACGGGAGTCTGGTAGTTGAGGGCACTGGTTCCTGGAACTGTGTTCCTTTGCCCAACACACTACTTCGACCCTTACTTCGCCTAGACGGGTGGTAAGATGGGCCCGGTCTTATCAATCGGCTGGTCATGCCAGGCCCTGTGCGTAATATTGTGTCTGCACAACTGTGTTGTATTTCAATGTATATTTTGGTCTTGGCCGTGGTTACTTGTTTGAATTCTCAATTTTTGATTGACTAAATTGCCTAGAGTCTTACGCCAGAAGGCGGTGGCTCATGGGCCAATCTGGTACTTTCGACCTCTGAGTTCTGTATGTCTTCAATTTCTTGCCATGGGCCGAACCAGCCTGACATTTTATTTGATAGACAAATACAGCTATTCATGTTGTTCTTACTGGAGTATAACACCTCTGTATCCCTGATGTTTGCATGTTGGAGATCCGGTGCAGGAAAACATCGCTCTTTGTAGCACTCCATGGTGGGTGGGGAGCAGAGGTGCTGAATACATTAATTTCATCATGG